CGTTTACATGCATTATACTACTTATAGACTGCATCGGCTGGAGTTAAAAATCTCAGTTTGTGTTTTACTAAAGAAACAAAGTCACCTACATCTTGGATGCCCTGGGGGTAAGCAGATAAAAATAAAAATTTCATTTTTGGGTGAACTATTCCTTTAAGAAAGGATGGATGTTCGCTTCAAGTGATAGGCCAGGTAAGTGAAATTATATTATCTTGCTGTATGTGTGTCGTTTTCTTTACGTTTTCTGACTAAAAGCAACCAAAAAGCCATTTTAAAGTGGTTAAGCAAATAATAATAATAATCGGCAGGGATCCCAGACCAATACAATTAGTGTGCCTCCTCTAGTTTTTTAAAACCCACGAGCCGCCACTGCACATAACAGATAAGTTATCATCAAGGAGAATGATATCTATGTTTTATTACTATTAAGGTCACTGTGAGCTCTTTTAGAGACAGTAAACCATTTAATACTGATCTGAAACCTGTTCGCTGTAGCCAAACTTCTGACAATAAGACAAAATACAAAAAGAGTCCTTTAGCGTGTAACTATTTTCAAGGTTGTGTCATGGATGATAGCTTTCCATTCATTTTCAAATTGTGCGAAGTAGCCATCATAGTCCATAACCTGACCTTTGGACAGAAAAGTTAGGGCAGATTAACAGTCAATACAAAGAAGAGGTCAAAGAGTAACTGTTCACTTATTGATCACATTTTCCAGAAGTGCAAAGCAGTCAGTTTGTTCTCTGATTGCATGTCAAGCTGACCTACTCAAAATACTGTTTTTGGCAAGATGCAAAAGTTTCAGATGCCTAATGAGCAACATTAGTAGGAATAGTTCACATTTTTATTATTTACTCACCCTCATGAAATTTCAAACCAATTTGCTTTTGTTCTCCATGAAACGCAAAAGTTAAATGATCAAAAACAGACAAAAACACTATAAAAGAACTATAAAAATAGTCCATGTGACAATATACAGTATCAAATATCTTCTAAAATCATCCAAAAAAGTATCTGTGACATGAGGGTGAGAAAATGATGACAAAATGTTTGAGTGAACTATCACTTTAAGTTTGATTTACAGTTTAAACCTACCTGTATTAATATAGTTAAGCTAAATAGCCAGTGCTTTTTTTGTTGAGTCACTAAAACGGTTTTAAAACCCAACTTATAGGTCTACAAAAACATGAAATTAAGCATTAAATGGAAATGCATTGACAGGTAACTGTCTCTGTTGGAGGTCTGTCTGTCTGTCCTATCCCAGCAGTACTCTCTGGAGCCTGTCTGCAGGGACGCTGTTCTCGTCCTCTGACTCCGCGTCGCTCTGTGGGTTTGAGCTGCAGGGAGAGGAACACTGCGGGGAACAGAGGTAATGCATGAGCGGCAGGCGGTACTTCCCACAGAAATCCACAAACTTGATGTGCCTCACACATGAGTCGAAGTAAACACCTAGAGGGCATGATGGGAGAGATATAGAGAAATGTGAAGAGGTGGACAAATATTCAACACGTCAAAGACAACTTTGTCAACATAAAGTTTTCAGTTTAGAACTTCGTGTCAACAGCATCAGTCAACAGCAACTGTGGCATAATGTTGATTACCACATAAAAAAAGCTAAAATTTGGGAGTAAATGGGGTCAATCTGTAAATACTAAAATTCTCACTTTCAATAATTTAGTCACAAACTTGTGCATGTTAACACGATTTTAGTGGGAAAAAAATCACTTACTTTACGGAGCCCCTCAAGGGACCTTTGAAAAACTAAAAAATCCATTGACTTTTGCATGCAAACGAGAAAATAAAAGATTTCTAGCATGAAAAATATATTGAAAATTTCACATAAGCATGCAAATGTTTCACATTAGGCTTCACATGCTCATGCAAATGTTTTCCCGTTTGTATGCAAAAGTCCGATTTTTTTTATTTTTGCAAAGTTCCCTTTCGGTTTGTCATACTAATCTTTTCTGTGTCAAGTTATTTCAATTTTCACGGCTTTGTTTCGGACATACTCAAAGCACTTGCGCTACTTCCGACAACAGGACTAATGGATTTGGAACGTCTGCTTTGAAGCGTCCATTGTAGACAGGCTCAAGCTGTTACAGTGCGATATACATTTTTGAACTTTTTTGATGAATGAGGGACAAGATGAAGTAATCAACATTATACCACAAATTCCATCAGTTGAGCGTAACTAGTACAGAACCCAGAATATTCCTTTAATTAATGCATGATGCTGTCTAAAGCAAGGTTGTCCTCACAGGATATAGATTATACAGCCTTATTGTCCTCCCCTACCTGCACACTTTGGGTTGGGACATTCGCTAGCCAGGTTTAAATAATGGTTCAGATTGGACGGTAGGTCACACGAGCTGAATGGAAGGTTCTGGGACTTGATGGTGCGTCCTGCCAGTTCCATCAGGGATGGAGGGTCGTAGGTCATGTCCTTGATGAAGCGCACAACAAGAGGGTTTCCACGCAGACTGAGCTCCTGCAAATGGACGAGGCTGAGGATCTCACGAGGGAGGAAGGTCAGTAGGTTGTTGTGGAGACTGAGAGAGAGCAGGGAGTGTAGTCTGCCAGGACAGAAATCAGATCACAACATTAAAATACACCTAACTGCTTTGACTTTACAATATAGGCCTACAATAAGAACATAAGTAACAAAAGATCTCACTTGTTGAGCTGGGGCGGTATGCTTTGGATGCGATTGTCACACAGAACCAGATATCTCAGACTGGTGAGGTTAGCAACCTCAGGAGGGATGAAGGAGATGAGGTTCCCTCCCAAATACAGCAACTCTAGACTGCAGCATCACATAACAGAGGTCAAAAGTTGAAGAGCCGTCACATTAAAGTCAAGTTTTGTAGATTTTAGTTTGTGTTAGCTTTGAGGCTAGCTTAGGGTGACCATACGTGCCATTTTCCCAGGACGCATCCTGGCCAGGATTTCTATATTGCCTAAAATATCTAGGTTTTGGCTTTGTTTGCGTGTGCAGACCGATCGGTGTATGACATCAAAATACCATACAGACGGTTCCTTATGCTTTCAAAATGCTCTCGAGGTATTTTGATGTCAAACACTGATCGATCTGCTTTTAAGTCGAACACACATCCTATGTACGCGTAATTGCATCGCTTTGACCGTAGATCCCACCTTCTCACACACACCATGATTGGTCCATTATGTACAATGCCTGCATGTTATTGGTCAAACTACTTTTCGATCATTACCTTCAGCAAGCATGAAAACAGGAAAAAACAAAGCCAAAACAAATCCTGGCAAGGACGTGTCCTGGGAAAATGGCGCGCATGGTCACCCTAGGCTAGCTATACACTCTTAAAAATAAAGGTGCTTCAAAAGTTTCTTCAAGCGATGCCATAGAAGAACCATTTTTGGTTCCACAAAGAACCATTCAGTCAAAGGTTCTTTACAGAACCATCTCTTTCTTACCTTTTTGTAATCTGAAGAACCTTCTTTCGCCACAAAGAACCTTTTGTGAAACAGAAAGGTTCTTCAGATGTTAAAGGTTCTTTATGGAACCATTTAGACAAAAAGGTTCTTCTATGGCATCGTGAAGCACCTTTATTTTTAAGAGTGTTTATGCTAGCATACTCCTACAAGTTGACAAAACAAACTTTTAGCAGATTGAATACCTGGAAAACTGCACAAAATACTTTAAAAGGTTGTATGAGAATGTCCCTAATTATAAATGTGTGGATATTAATATGGGAAAAGCTAAAGTGGAATTACTTTAATGCAGAGGTGATAAATCATACAATTAGGATAAAAACATACCAAAAGGGGGAAGTTCAAAGTTCATCTACTGTAAATACAGAATTTAGCAATGCAATGACGAAACAGGAAAATCTAATTTTAACTTTCTAGGTTTGAATGAAACGAGAGATCATTAACTTAAGAGTAAACAGACTGTTATGTCATGTTTAATTATTTGTCTAAAAGTACTTAACCAGTTCTCTCAATCTAATTGGTTAGTATTTTACCCAAAAAGCCCCACCAACCAAACCCAGGCCATGGAATGCATTCAGCTACTGTCTACTTTTGTAACACTGATTCGGGTCATATGCACATTTGTACTAGGCTCTAAACAGCCCTCGAGATACAGTATATGGTCTAAAGCAGTGTATCTATGTTAGGGTTATTACAGTTAACTATAACTACAGTACAACCATATTTTTTTTTTATTTACTTGAAATAAAGCAAATGTTAGCTGAAATTAAATAAAAAATACATTTTAACTAAATATTACATTTGTTGTTGCCAAAGCAACATTTCTCATTTTCATTTAGTTTAATGTGATGTACTAAAATAAGTAAAACTGGAGAGAGAAAAAAACACACACATATATATATATATATATATATAGTGGGTACGGAAAGTATTCAGACCCCCTTAAATTTTTCACTCTTTGTTATATTGCAGCCATTTGCTAAAATCATTTAAGTAATTTTTTTTTCCTCATTAATGTACACACAGCACCCCATATTGACAGAAAAACACAGAATTGTTGACATTTTTGCAGATTTATTAAAAAAGAAAAACTGAAATATCACATGGTCCTAAGTATTCAGACCCTTTGCTCAGTATTTAGTAGAAGCACCCTTTTGATCTAATACAGCCATGAGTCTTTTTGGGAAAGATGCAACAAGTTTTTCACACCTGGATTTGGGGATCCTCTGCCATTCCTCCTTGCAGATCCTCTCCAGTTCTGTCAGGTTGGATGGTAAACGTTGGTGGACAGCCATTTTTAGGTCTCGCCAGAGATGCTCAATTGGATTTAAGTCAGGGCTCTGGCTGGGCCATTCAAGAACAGTCACAGAGTTGTTGTGAAGCCACTCCTTCATTATTTTAGCTGTGTGCTTAAGGTCATTGTCTTGTTGGAAGGTAAACCTTCAGCCCAGTCTGAGGTCCTGAGCACTCTGAAGAAGGTTTTCGTCCAGGATATCCCTGTACTTGGCCGCATTCATCTTTCCCTCAATTGCAACCAGTCGTCCTGTCCCTGCAGCTGAAAAACACCCCCACAGCATGATGCTGCCACCACCATGCTTCACTGTTGGGACTGTACTGGACAGGTGATGAGCAGTGCCTGGTTTTCTCCACACATACCACTTAGAATTAAGGCCAAAAAGTTCTATCTTGGTCTCATCAAACAAGATAATCTTATTTCTCGGATAATCTTGGAGTGCTTCAGGTGTTTTTTAGCAAACT